GTGTGTGTGTGTGTGTGTGTGTGTGTGTGTGTGTGTGTGTGTGTGTGAGTGAGTGATTGCCTACAAGGCTGGGCTGTGGTCTTGTTTTTACTGCTGATCAGCAGTTTGGTGATGCCTTCACCTCTCTGTGCTGCATTTTTTCTCCTCTGTGATAGGTGGTAAGGTAGAAATATACCCTAGAGAGGAGAGATTTGATGTGATCATTAAAGGAGATAAAAGATGTACACAGAGGGAATTGTAATCAGCACATCTCGGCAGTGTTAGCTGTTAGTGTGTGTGTGTGTGTTAGTGGGAGGATGCTTGTCTGTGTGTGGATGAGTGAGTGTGTATGGGGGGGCCTTGCTGTACATGGTTGTAATTGGGAGTGAATAGATGGGACAAGTGAAGAGGGGAGGGTATGTAAGCCTTCACACGTGCCTGCACTTTATACCTTACAAAGCAGCCGAGTGCATGGTCCGCAGACTCTGAAGCCGGTTTCCTGGGTTCAGGTCCTGTTCCTACCCAGCATGACCTTGGGCAAATTACAGATTTCCTGTTGCCTCAATTTTCTCCTCTGTATTGTTAGGAAATATTAAGATTTCCTCACCCTCTTTTAGGATTATCGTGAGGATTAGATGAGTTAAATGCTTAGGGTAATGCCTGGCACATGGAAGGAGCTAAGTGTTTACTGCTGTCATTACTCATTATTATAATTATTTTTTTTAAAAATAATTAATTTTCAGCTGTGTTGGGTCTTCGTTGCTGCATGCAGGCTTCTCATTGCGGTGGCTTCTCTTGTTACAGAGCATGGGCTCTAGGCGTGCAGGCTTCAGTAGTTGCAGCACGCAGGCTCAATAGTTGTGGTGCACGAGCTTAGTTGCTCCGTGGCATGTTCGAGTCCGGACCAGGGCTCGTATCCGTGTCCTCTGCATTGGCAGGCGGATTCTTAACCACTGCGCCCAGGGAAATCCCTATTATTCTTATTACAAGGACTGACTTTGCAGGGAGAAGGAATATATGTCTGTTGACTCCACTGCTTCCATAGCAACCCCACGACATGGGCAGCATGGATCTCAGATGACACCTGACGACACAGGGCTGTGGGAGATTTCTGGCCACAGGTCACAAAGTTAGGGAAAGGGAGAGCTGGGATGCAAATTGACATCCTCCGACCCCAAAACCACAGGTGGAGAGACCTGAGAACGGGAGATGTTGCAGGCGATCTTTCCAGCCTCCCACAGATCACTCCAGCCCCTGAGGTCCGCTCAGGCAGGCAGCTCTCCTGTTGGTGTATCCAGGTGAGGGGTGGTAAGTGGTCATGCTGTGGAGACGTGTTCATTTCCCTGCTTCCCCTCTGCCCACGCCCCTTACTCTTTTTTCTACCCAGAAAATCAGGGTTTGTCTCCCAGGAGAACATTGCCCCCCCGCTTCTCAGCTTCTGCTTGGACCAGTGCCAGGTAAAGAGCACGTTCCATCCAGCTGAGAAGCTGTGGCAGTGGTTGCAGGAAGGTGTCCTGTGCCACACCTGTCTTCTGAGGTTAGTGAATTTGGGGTGGGGGGTGAAAGGCTTTGATGCCCAGATGTGGTGACATCAGCAGGAGGCTGAAAAGGAGGACCTGAGCTAACACACTCCCGTTCACTTATCTGTCCTTTGATTTGCTCTCATTCACTCATCACCTGCCATGCACTGCTCTAGGTGCTGGCACGCTCCCTGAGTCAACATATTGGACAAAATTCCACCTGTGGAATCACAGTCTGTGTTTCCATGAGACCCACAGGCAGAGTCAAGTCTGAGAAGCGCTGTTACTGGGCATTTGGCCCCAGCAGGCAGAAGCAGGTTAGGTGGGGAGATTACGCAATAAACAGGACCCAGCCCAGCTCCACCCCTTCCTCACTCCCCTCCTCACTGCCTGTCCCACCCCTCAGCTGGGATATGAAAAGCTCTGTCAGCCCCCAGCTTTCCTCAGAAGCCCTCTTGCAAGGCCACGAACATGAGCCGACTCTGCCTCTCCATCGCCCTCCTCGTCCTCCTGGGCACCCTGGTGGCCTGCACCCCAGGGGCTGAACACAAGAGCCGTGCCAGAGGTAAGTCCCAGCTCACCTCTCCTCCACAGGCTGGGCTGGGGGGTGGGGTGGAGTGGGAATGAGGCGAGTCCATGGGAGGGGCTGGGGAGCAGGGGTGGGGTGGGTGCTGACAGCCTCTCTGGATTTCTCCTGGGAAGTTGGGCAGTTGTAACTCCAGGGACATTTCATGACTCTCAAAAGGAATCATTATGTTTCAGCTTTTTAAAAAAGGAACCCACCAAACCGTACCAGACCAGGGACTCTATCTCTGAGACTCTCTGTTCCTGGTCACTGCCTGTCCCTGAACCTCACTGTAGTGTAATGAAAAGATCCATATTTGATCCTTGTCCTGGTTCCTGGCCCAGATGTCCTGCAACACTTGGAATTTACTGTCTTCTGTATGGTAATGCGATGAGTCAAGGAAGGGGACCCAGGATAACTTAAGGATGGGGCCGGTCTCCAAAAAGTCTCATCAGGTGATTAGAGAATTAGAACTTTCAACCCGTAGTACTTCTGGGGAGAGGAGAGGGTTAAGTACCGAGGCTGAGTTCAATCATCAGTGACCAACGATTCAATCAATTTGCTGACCTATTGAAACCTCAATAAAAACCCCTAAACTTTGGGGTTTTGGAGAACGTCCAGAGTGGTGAACATTCAAGGTGATGTGAGGGGAGAGTGTCCTGAGAGGGCATGGAGGCTTTGCACCCCTCAACCCCCCTTTGCCCTATGCGTCTCCTCCGTTCAACCTGAGCTTCAACCTTTGTAATAAACTGGGAGCAGTAAGTGAGGGGCTTCCCTGAGTTCTGTGGGTGGTTCTAATGAATTACTGAAAATGGGAAGTGGGGTCATGGAACCTCCGAATGTATAGCAAGTTTGTCACACGTATGGGTGACCCCGGGACTTGTGACTAGCATTTGAAATGTGGGACTGAGCCCTCATATTGTTGAATCTGCACGAGCTCTGCGGTTTTAGTGTCAGAAGTGAATTGACGCGTGGGACGCCCAGTTGGCCTTGCAGAATTGGTTGGTGTCAGTAGGGACACCACATGTTTGCTCTCAGGGACGAAACCCGGAGTCACTCTCCCCTTTAATTTGGTGACGGTGGCTCGGGGGCAGGGTTGTGTTTAGTATGCGTCGGTGCTCCCAGAAACTCTTACCAGTTATCTGTATTTTCAGAATTCCTGGCAGAATCAGGTAGTTTATCAAATGGGTTGTGACACGAGAGTATCATGGTGACCTAAATACTTACGTGCTGTGTGTGCTGGGGCAAGTCGTCTGTGGTTTCCTCACCTGACTGGGGACACCTGTTGCACAGGTTCTCTGAAGGGATAACCAACCAATCATGAATTTCATAACCAATGATGTCCATTTTCCCCCAAGATGTATTTATCTGGAAGACGTAGTCTACTTATCTTTCCCTTCCCAGAAGTGTCAAAATATTTAAGTGTCAAATAATTTTTATTTAAGTGTCAAATAATGATTATTTCTTTATTATTAAAATTCATCAGAAAAGTGTGGGGCAGCTGAGCTTCTGCTCTGCCTGAGGCAACTACAGGGAGGGCAAGACATCTAGCACTGCTGTGAGTTTGTTCGTGGGCCTAAGGCTGTTTTTTTTTCCAGGCTGGAACAATATTACTCAAAACTCAATGCCCTTCCCCTTGCCCCCCTGTCTATCACTTTACTATCCTCTCAAAATATAGAATGTTAGAGCTAGATTCATAGTTATATAGACTTGCCTCATCATTAAATAGACTTTTCACTAACAGCAATTCAATGATATCCATTCTATTCAATGAACGTACACTTAGCATGAGCATGAAATGGGAGGTCAATTCCATTAACAATATTTCTCAAGTCCTTACAAGCATAGTTCTTGATGTGGGGAAACAGCTGTACACAAAATAGCAAACTAACTTGCCTCCTAAGGGGGAGACAGATCACAGAGAAAGGGGAAACTAATATGCCAGGTCGTGATGAATATTTTGAAGAAAGAGAGTGATGGGGATAAAGGAGGCTGTGCTCTTTCCACAGACTGGTCGGCAAACCTTCTGTGATAAGCAGGTGCTGGAGCAGAGGCTTCAGTAAAACGTGCCTGGTGTGTTTGAGCAGCAGCCGGGACCAGGGTGGCTGGAGCTGAGTGGGGGGCGGGTGGGGAGCGGAAGGGGATGAGGCAGAGGGGCCATGGGGCAGGTCGTGTAAGATAAGAGTCAGAATTTGACTGAGAGAGATGAGGGCTTGGTCATGGGAGCAATGGGATAGGATTCAAGTTGTAACAGGGTCCTTGCGGCTGCAGTGTGGAGAGTGGCCTCTAGGGGGCAAAGGGCAGAGACAGAAGCCCATGGGCAGGCTGCTGCAGGGGTGCAGGTGAGCCACGGTGGAGTGTGTACCTATGTTGTTCCCTGGGTCGATGCCAATTCTTCTGAATAACATGAATGCCTTGGTCTGTTGAGGGTTTTATGCAGGTTGTACTTCCTAGTCATGATTCATTAAATCATTGGCCTCTGGTGACTGTTCAAAAACAGTCCCTGTTTCCCTTTCCCCTCCCTGAGCGGGGCTGGGGGAGGCCATAGAGGAGGGTGGGAATGTAAGTTCCAGTCCTCTGGTCAGGCAGTTAGCGCCTGTGGCAACCAGCGCCCATCCTCGGGTTACTAGGGGCTTCCCAATAGTCAGTCACCTCCGTCCCATAACAAAAGACAACTTACAGCTCTCTTCACTTTGGCAATTCCAGGGGTTTTAGGAGTCTGTTACCAGAAATGGGATGAAGGACAAATATATATTTATTATAAGTCACAATATCAATATTCCCTCAATATTCCATTATTCCAGTCCCTATGAGGTAACCAAAGCTAACACACCGTTGTGTTTTCTTTCATGCCTTTCTCCGTTACATCGTGATTCCTTCACACTTTTTTTTTTTTTTTTTTTTTTGGCTACACCACTCAGCTTGTGGGATCTTAGTTCCCTGACCAGGGATCGAACCTGGGCTCCCTGCAGTGGAAAAACGGAGTCCTAACCACTGGACCACCAGGGGATTCTCTTCACACTTATTTTTTTTTTAATAGTGGAAACTTTCAACCATTCAATTAAGTACAGAGAATAGTATTATAAACCCCATTTACCCATCATCCGGCTTCAACAATTATCAGCATGTGGAGAATATTATTGATGTGGGTCCTCTTTTCTTTGTAGACTGTTTCAAAACTAATCTAAGATATTATGGCAATTAATCCATAAATATTTCATGGGGAAGATATAATTTTTTTTTTGCTGTACGCGGGCCTCTCACTGCCGTGGCCTCTCCCGTTGCGGAGCACAGGCTCCGGACGCTCAGGCTCAGCGGCCATGTGGGATCTTCCCGGACTGGGGCACGAACCCGTGTCCCCTGCATCGGCAGGCGGACTCTCAACAACTGCGCCACCAGGGAAGCCCAGAAGATATAATTTTTTAAGATGATTACTATATCATGGTCACACCACAACATTAATAGTAACGTGTTGGAGCACAGACCCTCGACTGGCCTTTTCACATTTCACACCCCTGCACCCCAACATTCTCTATTGCAAACAAGCAGGGTGTTGCTGTTGTTGACCTTATAGACCAAGCTTTGATGACCATCCTCATAACTGACCTAGAGTCCCTCCCATCCTTGCAGACCCACCGCCCGCCTTCTGCCTGGAGCCTCCCTTCAAGGGTCTCTGCAAGGCTATCTTTATCAGGTACTTCTACAACGCCACCTCCAGGCTCTGCGAGACCTTCAAATATGGCGGGTGTGACGCCAAGCAAAACAACTTCTTGACGTCAGAGGACTGCATGAGGACCTGCGGTGGTGCCGAAAGGCCCTGGAGTAAGACAGGGGCAGGCAGGGTGGGAGGGGAAGGGCTGGGGAAAGAGGAGGGGCTCAGGGGGCCACCCACCATTCACAGCTGCACAGTGTCTTTCCTCCTCGCTGCCTCCCAGGAGAAGTGGCTCAGTGTCCTGTGAAACCACACACTGAGCACATCCTCCATGGGCCAGCTTGGCAGAAGGTCACCCTAGAAGCCCCGTCATGAGAATCGGAGCCTCCTCACATGCTCCCCTTTTTCAGATGGGAACACTGAGTCAGCCACCCTGCAGAGCAGGTCTGCAGAGCTCCTGAGCTCCCCACCTAGGCTTGGAAAACTCACTTCCTTCTTGTTGGTCATCCTGGTCCTGGGAGCACTGTGGTTGCTCATTTCTGGGATGGTCTAGGACCCAACAGAGTGTACCGTGTCCAAGTCTGGGGCTTCAGAGATGTCATTCAGCCAGTCCCTTTCTTTTTGCAGAGGACCTGTGAACCGTGCTCCCCCAACATGCTGAAGTCCAAGGAGGACCCACGCAGGGCTGGGCTGTGGCTGCTTCTGAAACAGTTCAGCCTCCCCGGCTTCCTTCTCAACCCCACCCTCCTCAGCAGAACGCTGCCTCTTTCCTCCCCCCATGGGTCTAATTGCTTTAGCTCTGTCTCATCCAGTCGGCTCTAAGCGCCATGAGAGACAGTCTTCCCTTTATCCCTAGCGCTTAGCATGGTTCCTGGCACAAAGGAGACGGTCCATAAATATTTGAGGAAGGAAGGAAGGAATGCAGGAGCACATTCCTCATGACTGGAGTGACTGCAGGGCCTGGGATTTGAAGCAAGTATTCTAACCCTAACCCTCATCCTCACTGCATCCTCACCTTCATCCCCCACCCCACCATCACTGCTCTCCTTGTGGGTATCGTTGGTAGAATTTCTGGAATCTAGCTCTGAGAATCAGTGATGGCAGAGGTCTTTCCATTAAAGAAGTCCCTTTCCCCCACTGCGATGTTGAACATTTTCCTATCTGTCATTTAAAATTCTACATCCTTATAATCAATAAATTAATTTCCTAATTGAGCTAACTTGCGTGGAATCTGATTTTTGCACCTAAGAACCTTATCCAACACTGTCCACGGAGATGGTGGCCCTTCTCATTATTCTGCAGAGCAGTGGACTCCTCCCCTTTTTCTGCCCTTAGACTGGGCCCTACCAAGTATTGGAAGAAAACCTATTGCAATGCCATCTACCTCTTAATGGACACCCCAAGCTACAAAAATATCTGGGAGACACCTCAACATGAAAGCTTGCTTTCTTTACTTCTTGGGCCAGGTCAAATTTTGGGGCAAGTTGTTCTCCTGGACTCTTAGAAGGACAAAAGAAGAAGCATGAGGTTCAATTGTCCATTTTTCCAAGGAACACCCTTCCGCAAGGTCATCTGTATGGAGAGGGGGCTGCTTCTGTTAAAGAAGGACAACTACCCTTTTTTGTGAGACTGGCCATGTGCCAGGCTCTGTGCTTGTCATTTTCCCCAAATTATTTGTTTGTATTTTCCTAATGATACTGAGAGGGAGGAAATGGGAGCATGGAGATGTCAGTTAGCTGGAGGATTAGTTTCCTGGGGCTACTGTGGGAGCCGAGGTGGAGGCCTTGGCTGTCACCTGAAGAGGTTAAGGCCAGCCTCCCTGAAGAGGTCAAGGCCAGCTTCCCTGAAGAGGCGATGTCTGAGCTGAGTTTGGAAGGGTGAGTTGGATTCTGTCAGGTAGAGAGAAGAGGGCAAACAGGAGCTTTGGGGCAAGACAAAGAGGCAGAGATGAGAACAGAGATTCTACATCTGTCCATGTCCCAGATCGGAGTCTGTGTTGGTTTCCAAGTAGCCTTTGAGCATCACGAGGAGACCCCAACTTGTTCCTCGAAGTCCACCCAACCCTGAACACGATGAACCTGGGAGTCCCCCTGTACAGAGTAGGGGAACAGAAGTTCCCTAGGAGGGGTGGGGGAACCACCGTATTTGCATGCGAGCCCTGGTTCCACAGCTTGAGTTTTCCGCTCCCTCCTGCTAAGTCCCAGCTCCTGAGGGGAGTGAGGCAGCCGCTTTTGTCATCTCTAAGAAACAGACCCATTAGAGCTGAGCCATGTGGGTGTGTAGAGGTACCAGTGGAAGAGAAATTAGGTTTTGGAAAAACACTGGAGAAGGTTTCTGAATAATTAAATGTTAAATTTTCACAGAAGGTAGCTAGTCAACCAGCCTCAGTGTTTTTTACCTCCTGCTAGGGGGAGCTCACTTTCTCTTGGGTAGCAGGTGCCAGCTGGTAGCATTCATGAATAGAACCCTCTTCCATCCTATTGAACCTATAAGAGTCCCCCTCCTCTCTGGCCCTGTGTTTCCACATTGGTCCTGACTCTGCTCCTAAGAACCCTACAGACAAATTCTGCTGTCTTTGTTAGTTCTACAGACATTGAGAGATGGCCGTCAGGGAAGTACCCCTCCACCACCACCCAAGTCTCTTTTAGTTTCTTAACATTTGCTAAGTCCCTTTCACAGTCTTTCAGATTCTCAGGACTGAGTTAAGGGAATGACTCTTTAGAGCTCCCTACAATTTATGCTGCTAGGATGGTTGGCACCTTCCTGAGGTGCCCCCTCACTGGGCTGGAGATGAGGTTAGTGGAAGAATAAGAGGATGGTCAGTAGGATCACAGCTCCCGGGTCACCCTCCAGTCTTTTTTTTGTAATTTATTTAATTAATTAATTTTTGTCCGCGTTGGGTCTCTGTTGCTGCGCGCGGGCTTTCTCTAGTTGCGGTGAGCGGGGGCTACTCATTGTGGTGGCTTCTCTTGTTGCAGAGCACGGGCTCTAGAGCGCAGGCTCAGTAGTTGTGGCACGCGGGCTTAGTCGCTCCGCGGTATGGGGGATCTTCCCGGACCAGGGCCGAACCCGCGTCCCCTGCATTGACAGGCGGGTTCTTAACCACTGCGCCACCAGGGAAGCCCCACCCTCCAGTCTTGCTTTTCCCAGTAGGTCAAGAGCTGTAGCAATCAGATACTGTGGAAATATGAACACCTAAGTGAGGGTGGCTGAGAGGAGCGGGTAGGATGTAGGTGGGGCAGGAATCCAAGGCTTATGGAGGTATCTCCCAGGATGCACCCCATTTCAAGTTCATTATTAGACCTTCCCCGCTGCAAGGCGTTGTGGGAATGACTTGTTTAGAATCCACTGGGTTCTCAGTCAAAAGGAGGTCCCAGCTCTCCCAAGCCAAGCCACTTTGACAATGTTTTCATGCCTCTGCCTCTAGGAAGACGTGAGCTGGAGAGACCTTTGGAGAACAGTGTCTAACTGCATCACTACAGATAAGGAAACTGATGCATAGAGACTCACATAGCAGGGTCTTTAAATATAAGAAAATAGAAAGAGCTGGTTCTGTCACTTACTACCTTATAGTCTTGGGAATATCTCTCCAAATCTCTGAGTTTCTCTTTCCTTTTTTACAAAATAAGGCTAATGATTCTACCTGTCAACGTCTCTAGCCACACACCTCCAGAAACACTCCTGTTCCTGGTTGAACCAGTTGGGTTTATTACTCACTACAGCAAGGAGAACACACACCTTGGGGAACCACCTAGCATCTCATTAAGAGGATGTTAGAAAAGACCTAAAGAAATGTGCTATGGTTGGGTGATTTGGGGAAGGTTTCAGGAAGCTCGCTCTGCTCTGGATGGATGCTGTCAGGAAGTGGGGCAGTTCTCTGACTATGTATCTTAATCTTAACTCTAAGAAGAGAGGACAAGATAGAGTTTAGAGCTGTATTTGGTAAAGCAGCATCAGTCACTCATATGAGGCAGAATAGGGAGATGCTTGGTCATTTTGGTGGCTTGTTAACTTAGCTTCTTTTGTCTGTGTTCAACCACGATTACACGGTGTCCATTTATTTATTTATTTATTTAGTTAGTTAGTTAGTTAGTTATAGCTGTGTTGGGTCTTCATTGCGGCATGCGGGCTTTCTCTAGTTGCGGCAAGCGGGGGCTGCTTTTCCTTACGGTGCGCGGGCTTCTCATTGCGGTGGCTTCTCTTGTTGCAGAGCACGGGCTCTAGGCGCGCGGGCTCAGTAGCTGTGGCTCACGGGCTCTAGAGTGCAGGCTCAGTAGTTGTGGAGCACGGACTTTGTTGCTCCATGGCATGTGGGATCTTCCCAGACCAGGGCTTGAACCCGTGTCCCCTGCATTGGCAGGCGGATTCTTAACCACTGTGCCACCCGACAAGTCCCACTTTTTGTCTTAACCCATCATGGGCACAGAATGACTTTGTCTGATACTGACATCCTATAAAATAGTTTATGTTCAGCAGGAGACATAAGGCCAACTGTGGTGCCGGTCAGCTCCTGGAAATCAGGGCTCAGTAGTTGTAGCTCGCGGGGTTTAGAGCGCAGGCTCAGTAGTCATGGCGCAGGAGCTTAGTGGCTCTGTGGCATGTGCGATCTTCCCCGACCAGGGTTCAAACCCGTGTCCCCTGCATTGGCAGGCAGAGTCTTAATCACTGCACCACCAGGGAAGTCCCATGGGTTTGTATATTTGTGAGGACCATGTTGGTTATGGTGCTAAAGTGTTTTGAATACCATAGACCAAAGCACTTGCCTAAAAGCACATAGACTTTTAGTTTTCTTGATTCCTGATTCCTTTGTAAATGTGCCGCCTACTGCATTAAAGACAGGAATAAATAGCCTTTGGTTTGTAGTGTCACCCACCTTTCATAAGCCCCTCAGGGAGTCCCTCAGTGTCCAAGGGGCATCACCGTCTGTTTCCTGAAATGGTCCCTTTCTTCCTCAGAGGTAACCTAAAGCCGTCTTGCTTCAGTGATAGGTCTCATCCAGGTCAAGTCCCTTGCCCACCCCATCCTGCCCTTTATTTGACCCTCTGGTTCCTCAAAAATGTAGGTGGGGTTGGGGACTTCTGCTGGTTCTCTTTGGGCTCAAGTCACCAGTACCTCAACCATTAGGAAGCACATTTTAAGGAAGGCCCTTCCTGCCCCCTGGTGGCAGCAGTGGGGCCTGGTGGGATTCTCTGAAGGCTGTAGGGAGGCACCCAGGGCCAGAGACGGAGATATCCAGGGAGACTGAGATCTGTGGTCCTAGGACAGGAGATGGGCATCCTCTGAGACTAGGACTCTGGTCCCTCACTGCCCAGCCGCCTCCCAGGCACAGGAGCAGAGAAATCAGGCATGTGCTCTGCACCAGAGGTGGACCTGAACTGCACGCGGGAGTGCCTCTCAGGTGGGGAATGCGTGGCCGACCTCAGGTGCTGCCAGGCCGGCTGTGCCACCATCTGCCAGATGCCCAGTGGTAACCCCGGGGGCCTCCACCAGGCAGGACGGGAGATGGTACTGGTAGGAGGTAGGAGCACCTGGTTCGGGGAAGTGGGGTGCTCCCAACTCTGGGACATCTGGCTGGGTGGAAGGAGACGGAAGCAGTTCAGCTGAGGCACTCCCTCCAGGGACCTTGGGGAGACAAGGCATCTGAAGTGCAGCGGGGGGAAGGGAGACCCCTGCACCCGGCTGGATTCAGTGCTCTAGCGCATGTCTTTGCTTCTGGGACACAATGTGGGGACTTCGTTGCCTGAGGTCTGGGGACCTGGTCTGAAGATTCCTCCCTGTGGGCCAGAGTCACAGAGAGGCCAGAGGCTGCTGAGGGGACTGACTCCCAAGGCCTAGGACACTCGTCGCACTCTGAGTCCCCCTCCCGGGCCTCCCCCACTCCCAGCACCTGGCCTGGCACCCCGAATTCCTCCATTCAGGCAGAAAGAGACTTTACAGATTTCAGAGACCGCCCAGGCCATCTTAAAGATGTGGAGTGAGCATCTGAGAGAGACGGGTTCTTGCCCAAGGTCACACCGCCATCCCTGGCTGGGCAGCAGTCCCAGCAAGAGGGTTCAGCTCTTGCCTGAGTGGTTTGAAGAAAGTCGGGATGCCTCCCTGAGCACCCCTCCCCCTTCCTCCTCTTTAACACCCTCTCTTCCACTCTAAGGATTGAGTGAGAGAAAGCATGTGAAGCTTGCCTGTCATAAAAAGCACTTTCTGGAGTTTAAGACTG